TCCTAAGCTCAGAAGCACCAGCTGGATCATCATCGAAGTTGCCCAGGTCCATCCTTTCTGCCTGTTCCCTCTGTCCAGTGAAAAGTCGAATACAACGAGTATATGCTCTCCCTGGGCAGTCCACTAGAGTAAACGTACTTGGGTGGTCGCCATCTGTCCTGAATAACCAGTAGGCATTCGTATGGAAAGACTTGCGAGTAGGTGTAGGCAGGGGCGGCGCCAGGGTATTTTGTTAGGGGGGGCGAAACCATGGTGCGTGTACAGAAGCACGCGAAGGGGGGTCTGGGGGGCTCTCCCCCAGAAAATTTTTGAAATTAGACCCTCTCAGATGCGTTTTCTGCGCGAGCAGGGGGGGCCCGCGCCCCCCCCCCCCTGTACACGCCCCTGGGAACTGTAGACTCTGATACCGTGTGCGCTTGCACTGACGGGTGGGGTCCAGGGGGTAGATTCATGATTCATCAAGCTGCGTACGCAAAATATTTTGCGTAAATCTTGTGTACGCATCGACGTTGCTTAGTTGCGATTCATCAACACAGCTATTTAGTAAATTTTCGTACGATTTCGCGTACGCAAGCGAGGCCGTTTTAGGTGCGATTCATCTAAAATTTACGTAAACCTTTGCATAACTTTACACGAGCTGACGAGGTGCCGTAAACCACTCGAAATTTCCGCAGGTGTTTCCAGCATACCGCAGCATGCATTATTTTATTGAGAAAACATTATAAAATTACTACTCAACTAAAAATAAATAAATAATTACCATACTACACAGACAGGGCCGCCTTTGACGCTTTCTTTGTCATAGCTTGGCATTGTTTTCGTTATAAGCGAGTTCGTAGTTAGCCGTGTACGTGCACACGCCGTGCGCACTTGTACGTGCACACGCACGCACTTGTACGTGCACACAAGCACGCACGTGTACGTACACACGCACGCACGCACGCCCGTGTACGTACGCAAGCACGCACGTGTACGTGCACACGCACGCACGTGTACGTGCACACACGCGCACGAACGCACGTGTACGTGCACACGCACGCACGCACGTGTACGTGTCGCTGCTTTCATCGAGTGTTGAACACAATCATACAACGAAAATGAGGACAACTATCACATTCCCAGCACTCCTGTAGACAGCTAGAGCCATATGGTTTACATACAAGAGAGGCGTCAGTTTGGTTCCTATGGTATGTGTCGCACAGTGTGATTAGTTTATGCTAGGCACGTCCCTCAACAGCCAGCAGCTACGATGGCGTAGTGGATTTACACCGGAATTCATCAACATTTGCGTACGCAGGTGCTACGCTGCGTTGATGAATCGCACCTACGAGCTTTGCGTACGTACTTCGTCTAGAACTCTGTGTACGCAATACACTTTGCGCAACGTTGATGAATCCGGCCCCAGGGGCCCGCCTTAGTGCCCCTGGCAGGGGTCCGGGGAAGCTCTCAGAGTTTAGCTAATCAAAGCCCTCAAATTGCTGACAAAAAAAATTGTGCAGGGAACCAAGGAGCAACATATACCAAGGAGATGAAACCCCGGGGGGGGGACTCACCCCACATTATGGTAGGTATCTGGTATGTGCCACTGCAAAGTTAAAAATGGGGGAGGGGGGGCTCTGGAACTAACTCAGACCTGAAAATGGTGGTCTCTGGAACTAATGTTTGTTGAATGTGGTATGCTATGGAACCGGCTATGTTCGAAAATGGGGGTCTCCGGAACTAGCTAGGATTTCGTTGAAATTCAATGCTATGAAACTGGACACGTTTAAAAGAGGGGGTCTCCGGAACTGTGAGGGGAACAGTGATTTGCTTTAAAATCTATGCTGTAGCACTTGAACCAATAATTGTTGTATTATGTAGAGTAGAGAAAAACATGACCCGGAGAGAGATGAACGCACGCACACGCACACACACACACGCGCGCGCGCACTAACTAAAACTAGACAGAGGGCACTCGCGGAGAGAGCATACCTCCGCCAGCGACATACGCCATACGCCATACGACTCACGAACACACGAATAACCCACGATATACGCCAGCGTACATGTATGCTCGATCGCCGCTCAGTCAGCAGCAGCCGGCTGTGGCTGGCTCGCTCGCTGACGCGCTAATATCGATCGCGTCACACACACACGCACGCACGCACGCACGCACGCACGCACGCACACACACACACACACACACACACACGCTAACGTGTACACGAACGCACAGACCCGATCACATAACCTCCCTCACTCCGTGGGCGGAGGTAAAAATAAGCATAGCATGTAAGAGTATTATTAGAGTCAGTCTGAACGTTGTAATTATAATTTATAAGTTGTTAACACCCTCAAGTGTGCCTACCTTTCCGCGGGAAACAGCATCATCGACAAAATGATGGTCCCAACTTGGGACTCCCAAGGAAATAACACCTTGACATCGATTATCAAATTAAGCACAGGTTTTATATGGATTGAATTTCGACACTTAATTTTTCGATTTTTCGATGAAAGTGATCACTCATTTTTGGGCGATCCCCCTATTATTTGCAAGAATCTTCTTCTTCTTTACCTTTTCTTGCAAATGATGGTCACCCCCACCCTACCCATCATTTGCAAGACATTTGCAAGATGTTTCTTTTTCTTTTTCTTCTTCTTCTTCTTCTTCTTCTTCTTTTCCTTTTTCTTTTTCTTTTTCTTTTTTTTCTTTTCTTTTTCTTTTTCTTCTTCTTCTTCTTCTTCTTTCCTTTTTCTTGCAAATGATAGGGGGGGCGACCGCCCCCCCTGCCCCCCCTGTGGCGCCGCCCCTGGGTGTAGGTATTCTTCAGTCCAAACATCCTGTCGAGTTCTCCAAAGAGGGGCTGCATCGCATCGTAGCTCATACGGAGACACCATCTCACGAAGTCAAAACTAATGAACAGGTACCGATTGTGCTCAGAAGTCAGCGGAGCCGTCATCTCGGCTATCTTGTTCAGAAGAGTGCCTTCTCCCATCGTCATGCTTTGAGTTGGAACGAAGGGAAATACAGAATCCCCGATGTTTTTCTCAGTCGAGACCTGGTAAGATCGCATCTCCGGAGACGTTTTCCCGTAAAACCTACATTTGTCTGCCTTTGGTTCTTTTTCTTTGGGAACAACTACTATCACCTTGTGTTTTTCTTGAGGAGAACCTCCCATGGCTCTACCCACCTCTATTTCACAGTTGCGACATGACGTTGCTCGCTGGGTGTGTGGGTTGGTTGTTGTGGGTGTGGTTGTGTGGGCTTTGTGTGGTTGTGTAGTGAATAAGTAGTGTGTATGGAATGAATCTCGTAGCTCTCATGTCTTTTAGACCGTACGCTGTGTCTGACGCTGTCTCGTTTATTGTTAAGGATCGTGGCCGTTAAGCTTGGGCACTAAAATTTGGTCTGCCGTTTTGGGTGTATTATGTGTTCTGGTGTGTGAAACGGCGCGTAGTACAATACTGCTGTTTGTCTTGTACAAGATTGGTCGCGAAGATGTGTCTACGAATGGTGGGTGCAACTTCTTAGACTAGTTTGCACAGTCCCTGATGCTGCAAAAGCCTTTGTGTGTTGTCTCTTCCCCGTCAGCCGCAGCCGTGCTTCCCTCCGTTTTCTGTCCTAGTCCGCATTTTTCTCTAATTTTCCTATCCCATTTGATGTCGGTCACGCGATTGCGGGTGCCAGCCACAGCTTCACGGTTAATGGATGTGCGCAATATTTTACGTGCACTTTGTTGATGTACTGCTCTTTGCAGACTTGTAGATCTGCTTGATTTGTCTCAGTTCCCTCTGTCCTATTAGCTGAAATAGTCGATATCATTATCGATGTATTGGATGCTCTCTCTTGGGCAGTTCTTCACATAGATGTTAAGACTGCTATCTAGTGGGGCGTGTGGTCGCCATCTGCCTGAATACAGTTAGGTCGATTTGACGTTATGGAAGATCTTTGCCGATAGTTGTAGGGGTATTCTTCGAGTCCAAGATTCACTCCTGTCGTGAGCTCTTTTCAAAGAGGCGTGGGTCTGTGTTCCAGTCGCATCGTTTGGCCTATACGGTAAGACACATTTCGTCACTGAGGAGTCTTAAAACTATTTTTGATGTTAACAGGGGTACGATTGTGCTCAGAAGTCAGCGAGCTCTTGTCATCTCGGCTATCTTGTTCGCTAGAGCGCTGCCTTTTCTCCCATTCGTCTATGCTTTTGAGTCGATTGGAACGAAGGGAAATACAGAATCCCCGATTTTTCTCAGTCGAGACCTGGTAAGATCGCATCTCCGGAGACGTTTTCCCGTAAAACCTACATTTGTCTGCCTTTGGTTCTTTTTCTTTGGGAACAACTACTATCACCTTGTGTTTCTGAGGGACCTCCCCAGCCTCTACCCACCCTATCACAGTTGCGACAGAGTTCGCTTGTGTGAA